AAGGGAGAAGGAAAGGGAGAAGGAAAGGGAGAAGGAAAGGGAGAAGGGAGGTGAGGGGACTGTTTTCATGTTTTCTAGTTCTAGTTTCTTAAAAAAAAAAAAAAAAAAAAAAAAAAACACAGGTGGAAAGAAAAACCTGCTCATCTTCTGATTCTTTGATAATCAGAATAAATCAAATAATACCTATAGTGAGTTCATACTAAATATAAAAGATGAAATTGGTGGCTGGCAACCCTGCCCACAGTAGGGAGGCTGGAACTAGATAATCTTTGAGGTCCCTTCCAACTTAAACCATCCTACGATTAAATTTGAAAGGCTTCTTCTGCTCTGTCTAACAGGTGTCTTTGGGAATGATGCCCTAGAAAAAAGAATAAGTAAGTAAGAGAAGAGGTGGAAACCAGAGTTCTAACCTCCAAAAATGTACAGCAGAAAAAACACTTTCATAACAGAAAGTAACAAAAAACTTACAGGAATTATCACTAGATTAAGACCATAAAGGAAGCATTTCACATGGGGTGAGGGGGATGTAAGAGGGGAAAACTTTTGATAATAAAGAGTTAATGATGAAAACTAATGCAGACTTGTTTATTTTCACTGTAAAAATATTTGCTGTATTCATGCAGTGCCTTTGACCTACAAAAATATTTTTACAGTGGAAATAGCTCTGTTTTCCTGGCAACTCTACCAGAACCTCTATAAGCTTCTCCTGCTTGCTCCAAAGAACTAAACACTGCAAAAATAAGTAGGCATAGATTTCTTTGTTGTGCAGACAGAGAAAACTTAAAAAAACAAAGTGGAAACAAAAAAATGCACCTGCCACATTTCCCACAATCTCTCTGTACGTTGACAATATGACAGTTATTACCTTATTAACACAAATCTAAATGCACCCCTAAACACAGGATTACTGGTTAGACTGTATTCGAGTAGATATCAGATATTACGAAAACTACCATTTCAGGGGAAGAATCTAAAGGACATAAAAATGAATGTGCATTCTGAGGAATAACGAAGAGTTCAAGCAGTCAGCTACACAGAAAAGAGGAATTTTACATTAAAAAAAAGTATATAACCATTATTAAAGACCATCAACAGGGAAACACATCATCATTCCAATTTCTGTTAAGCATTTGCCTTCATTTACAGCAGGGTAGTAATCTCCTTTACTCTATCTAAACCAAAGAGATGCAGCAGTCCTCAAATTTATCCCATTGTGAAGCAATGTTTAATGCAACTTTCCTCTAATCTCAATTTCACATTTAAGGCAAATGCTCGATATGAGTCATACTGAAATCAATTTTGGCCTCAGCACGAACAGAAGTTAAACTGATTAATGCATTTCTGTTCTGTGCATGAAGGCTTAGAGACTTTCAATGCGTGCATAAACATACAGCAAACCAAAAGCTACCATACAGCTACCAAAAACTAAGACATTAACAAACATTTTTATCTTGACATATATTTTTTTTAATGTATTTTATACATATATTTACTCTTCCATTTAAAATTCACTTGAACAGTCACTGTATATGATTGCAGGATGCAACCAAGTTAACATTCTATCTTCTGAATATTGATTCTTGTAGCACATATGTGAGTTTAGTATAGAAGATGATAATCATAATGATTATCATAATTATGCACAGGAATTGCTTTCCACTGGGTAACAGAAATGAAGAAGATAGCTCCATCAGGTCATCATCTTATGACAGTATTTATAAGACAATGGAAGAAAAATCCCTCCTTTCTATTTCTGCAGCTCCTGGATTAAACCATTCTCAATCTGCTCTGAAGCTACAAAATCATACAGAATCTCTATCCTCGAGTTTGTCCCTACTAGAGAACAAATACACTTCTGCTTCTACTAGCCTGATCATTCTGCAAAGTCATACTGCTCAGTCCCACTCTGGGGGTACTGTGAGACCATGTTAGGTCCACCTGTTTTTGCAGCACCTGATACTGTGTTTGCAGTATCAGTAGAGACCATTTGACAAAAGTTTGAAAAAATACTGGAATTAGATAGTTAACATCAGTACAACAACAGCTACGTGCAGTTCAAGAACTTCTTTCACTTAAAATAAAATCAAGCTGCTTGTGCTGGGATGATTTTATGTTTTCATCCTATTATTCTTTCAATTTATTGTCTCATTCTTTTTAATCCCCTCTCCCTATGCATTTTAACATTTTAGACTCTTCTCCTTCTACTGAAATCTTTTCATTAGCCAAATGTACGTATTATCAATTATTTTCACTAAGGTGCTTTCATTCTCTCTCAGCTGTTTCAAGGAAAATGACCAGATGCTTTTGGACACTGCTTTAGCTTAACTATCCAATTCTCAAGTTTCCAAGGCTCATCTTTAAAAAAAAGAAACAAACAAGTTATGCGACAGTGACTGAAATAGTCAGTAATTAGCCTGAGTACAATTTAGCTTGCATAATGACAAATAATGCTGTTTGTAAGCACTGATAAACAGCAAATGCAGAACCACCAGAGGATCACAGGCTTTTCCTACTAATTTTTTTTAATAGTAAAGCCTTAAATATCTGGAGCTGTACTGTGCTCAGTCCTGTTTGCATTGTTATGTAATAGAGATTAGCATCAGGAAAGGTCAGCAGAAAGCAACGGACTAATTGAGGGATTTTTTTTTAAAAAAAAAAAGTTAAAACAACATGCAGTTTTTAAAAGTGAAGAAAGTAAATATGACCTTACATAGTCTGGTGAAATTCTGCAGGGATCAGAAACAAAAGACAATGACAAAACTACTTTATCTTTTCATCTGAAGAATCAGTGGCATAATCTCAAGCTAACTAAAGGTCAAGCCCATGAGGAATATCCCACATTCAGAGAGTAGTTAACTGAAGTAAGTTATGTGCATTTATTTTAGTGTCTGAATGATTTACATAGATGCAGACATTTATTTCGGATCCCTCCAGAATCATAGTGGAAATAAACTCTTTTTCTTTTTGTTAGGTTTTTTTTTGTTGAAAACTGAGATGAACTTTTATCAAAGTTAAGGATTTCACTAAGAAACCTGTCTCTGACTTAAGAATGTTTCAAGGGTATGTTTAGGTATGTTTATCTCTGCAGATATCACCAACAATATTATTTATTAATCTTGGGTCTGAGTGCCTTAGTCCTGATTCGGGACTGTATGGTTTTTAATTCAAGAACAGAATCTTTTTGTGATGGGAAACAGGTATGCTACATCTTTTTGGGCTTGCTAAATAAAAATGTAACTCCTTGCAGAAAAAAAGCATCACAGATTACTAGATTAAGTCCATTTTAAAAGAGTATTCAACAAATGTTTTGAAAAATGCCCCAAATACTGAACACCTGAAGGTAGGAATTTCAACAGAGGAAGCGTTCCAATGCTTCCCAGTTATACTTCCAATCAAACTTAATAACATGAAATTAATTGGAAGATTTAGGTACCTTTAGAGTTCTTTGAAAAACTGCATATAGCATTTATTATTTGATGCTTATCTATGCACTGGTCAAATTACTTCTGTGAATATAATGGTTAGGGCTAAACACAGCATGGGTATGAACAAGAAAGAAAATATACTCCCTTCTACCTGTCGTGCTTTATGTGCTGTCTCAATGCCATGATTTCTTAGACAGCTTAAAGCCCTTGTATCTGGGGAGCGCCCCACGTTCCAGTCTGAAACAGCAGCACTGTCTGTCATCCACTGCAAGAACAAAACAAATACATACACACATTTAAAGAAAATTAAAGTACAGTACCTGCCTGGCAATATGATTCATGGTAATGCCATGCTTCTTCATGCAAGTCTGTCCTCGATAGTCAGGAGGGTTTCCTATTTCATAGGTAGATGTCGCTGCACTGTCTATCCTCCACTACAGAAAAACAAATTTATGTTTTTATGTTTCCTTTCTCACTTCTTACATTTGTACTAACTGGATAGAATACAGTCGTTTCATAGACAGGAACAGAAATAAACAGCTTACCTTATTTTCAACTTTCTCATCAGTTACAAGTTTTCTAAAAACTGCTTCAGCTATTGGAGAGCGGCATATGTTTCCTACAGAAATAGGAGATCAAAGTTAAAAACAATTTCAGTAATTGTGTGGACTTGCCAGCACAGCTCAGATGAAAGATTTTTGTTTATTCGGATAGAACGTGGATTGCTTATTACAACCCAGAAGATTCTGCAAAAGTGGAAACGCAATATCCACCTGTGTCCTGAAATGCATATTATTCACTGAGAATGTACACTTTGCTAAAATAAGTAGGAAGGCAACTCCTCCCAAACAAAGGCTCTCTGATCAGAAAAGATCACGAAAAATTACAAATGTTAAATGGGAGCAAATATTCTTCCCACATGCTAGTAAATTTCACCTAATGCTTTACTCTATAAATATTTGCCTCAAGTATTTACATTATTACCTACCTATTAACAGAAAACTTCTGGACAATTCCAAAACACAAATGCCACTACTATGGAACTAACACAGAGAAAAGGCTGAACAATGTTCATGCATCCTGATCACTGAAGGGAAGTAAGTGCATGCCAAAACGAACCCTTACCAAGAATAGCTTCCAAATACTAACAGCACACCAACTCGCCAACTTCAAAAGAGAACTCAATTACACAGAAGTGAATCACAGAACTGTAGGGGTTGGAAGAGACCTCCAAAAATCATCGAGTTCAACTCCTCTGCCAAAGCAGGCCCCTACAGCAGGCTGCACAGGTTGGTGCCCAGGGAGGTCTTGAACGTCTCCAGAGAAGGGGACTCCACAACCCCCCTGGGCAGCGTATTCCTGTGCTCCGTCACCCTCACAGTGAAGAAGTTCTTTTGCCGTATTGGTGCAGAATTTCCTATGCTTCAGTTTATGGCCATTTCCCCTTGTCCTGTTCCCACAGACCACTGAAAAAAGGTTGGCCATGTCCCTTTGCCTCCCACACTTACGATATTTACAAACATTAATAAGATCCCTATGTTTATGAACATTCAGGAAAAGTATTCCAGATGTTTGTGGGTTTTGGGGTCCAAAATATGAAAGATTAGTAATGAAAAGTAACTGACAGCAAAGCTGAAGTACCATCAATCGGCCAACAGTCAAGGCTGTTTACTGTATAAATGTAATGAGTCTTGCCTTCAAACAGCCTCAGACTACACTAGCCACTTGATCTGACCTTATTTTCAGCAAGATCTATTTCAACAGAGAAATAGTGCCCAATTAAAAACTAGAAATAATAGGTCTGTAGTATTTCTCCTTCACTGCTAAGCCTGTATATAACATGCACTTAAATCTTCTGGACCTGAATGCAAAAATACATTCTCATTGGGGAAAAAACAAATACCTCAACAACAAATAAATAAATCTACTGAACTGTCACTCAAACTGTCAGCATCTTTTCATCCCACATCTATTCTCCTTTCACATGAGAAACGAGACATTTATAGCTGACACATTATCCACATGCACAATAAGCCATACAAACCTCCACTTCCCACCAAACAGAATGTATGACTTTATTCACCTCTGATTTTTGAGAAGTATAAGATACCACAAATGGTAGAAGTCAATTCTACATCTTTAAAAAGAAAAATAAATCACCAAGATCACCATTCTGCTACAAATGAAATTCTTTCCAGATTTCAAACAGTAATGAAACGCCCACAAACAGAACTACATTGCTGGCAGCACGACATTCACAGATCAAGTACTTAGCAAAATATCAAACTGGAGATTTCACTACTGAAGAGGAAGAAGCTGCTATGGTCTGAGCATTTAATAAGTTGCTGTCAATCATGCCAACCACTAAAAAAAAACAAGTGGGAAATGAGCCACTTAGGTATGAGTTTCAGAGAACATCAAATCACTAAAGGGCAAAAGCAACTGGCTAATCAATGGGAAAACAGCTGTGCTGAAACATAAAATGAATTTTGATAGCAGCAGATCTTTTTCCAGGGGAAAACATACAATTTCTTTTACTTGAAACTAGTTTACCCAAAGAAACTAAAAAATAGGTCTTGAAAGAATAAATAAAAGAGGAAAAATATTTTTATTCATGAGACAAGATAATATTTATTATAAAAGATGTTAAAGAACGTAGTAAGTTAAAAATTACTTTTTTAATTCAATGAATTAAATAGTATCTCTTTTAAAAGCACTTCCTATCTTCGAGGATACTCCAGAAACTCATTTCTTGTGAGTAACCAGAAACATTCAAATTCCCACTTAGTATATATCCATGGAAGTCAATGCTTATCTGATCTTGGTTAACATCATCCTGTAACTTAAAAATCTTCCCTTCCTTCATCAGATACAGAACCCTTGTCAAGCACAGTTACGCTAAACTAAACAAACGAAGCTTCTGGTTTCCTCAAGAAATGAATTTAGCCTTACCTAATGACTAGAGTTAAGCCAATTTATTTAAATTCAATAATTTTGAATTTTGAATTCCTGAATACTCACAAATAAAACCAACAAATATATTCCAGGAAAAATTTTACAAAAAAAAGTTCCAGAATTTTTACATAGCTCTTTTGAAAATAACCTAAGATGACTTCCTATCACCATTTATGGCTCCTTCATGAGTATCAAATTTATGATCACAATCTCATACTTCCAACTTGCCCCTCTTTTTTCTCTTTCTTCAAACTACCTTTAAGTCTTGTTTCTGAACTTAAATTCTGTTTCCATTACACCAGCTCTTAAGGCCATTTACCTCTTGTATTATTCTCTGTGTGAATGATACCACACAACTCTGAATGAACAGTGAACTTCATTACTACGCTTAATACTTTATGAATAATAATTAACGTAACATTACTAGTCCTAATTAATTAACTAGCTAACTAACTTCAATTGCACAATCACTAGTGGAACCTTTTGTTGAACACCTTCATAGTCACGCTTTCTCACTCATTTTCTAGAAATAAGAGATCCACTGATGGTTATCAAAACCAATGTTGGGTATGAGTTCTTATTCCAGACCATGCATTAATCTTTGATTTACTCTCAAACAGAAATATAAGTGTCATTTATCTCAACATGAAAGACAACTTGATTGCCTTTCAGCTCATCTCTACGTACTGCTGATCTTGTCATCCACTCAGTCTTCCAATCTGTTTTGTATTTTCATTGTTCCTTATTCAGCTCTCTAACTCTTTCACACTCTTTGTCTTCCCAAATGACAACAGATGCTCCTCTCTTCTGTTAGAAACAGCAGAGGGAATAACAAAAGAGAAAGTTTTACTAGCTTTCATTCTCTCACATTTAAGAAAGTGCTTTCAACTCCCTGCACGGTCAGTTCACCTAAGTCACTATCATACTGCTTCCTACTGTAATTTGCATCATTCAGTGACTTACCACCTGTCCCCCTCATCAGCAAGCATCTAAAATTTAACTACTCTCTGCCACTACGTACTCAAATTTCTGTCTGAATTTCATGGTTCCCTGTGCCTTATTTGTGCTCACATCTACCTGAAGACACTTTGCGTTCAATTGGATATGTAAATATACAGCTACCCTGTCACATTCCATATGTGGGGAGAGGAGAGTTACTAAGACTGGCAAAACTTCTCAGTATGGATTAAGGTGAAATAACAGTCCAGAACCATAAGTAAACTTTCATGGGAGATTTCTACGGAACAGTTACTCGGCAGTGGCCTGCTCACAATTACCTCTGACTAAGCTGTGCAGTTTTCTGGAACTGACTGCAAGGCCTGCCATTAGAAACAAAAATCCACACGCCGTATTATAAGATTGGTATTTATGAGCCATCTTCCTCTCCCCATGAGTCCAAAAGATTTCAGCAGCAATGTCGTATGCAACCTGGGGCTGAGTCCGCCAAATCAGTCTTTTGCCTGCATTACCTGGAAAAGCTCAAAACCAGTCTGTTCAGTGATTTCCTTCGTTTTCTGACGGGCCTCAGCTATGGTAGAGGTGGCATTGTGAATGGTGATACAACATTCCCTGTCTGTTAAATTCAACACTCCACATACACCATGCTCCTGTAATAGCATGTCTAAGGCTAACTGGTTTTGCAAAGTCACCTTTGATACTTGTCGAACCTGTAAATTAAGCTCTCCAGATGCGCGTTCAGTCCAATTCCTCAGTATGTGAGCCTGCCAAGTTAAATTTTCTGGAACATCTGGTGCTGTTCGATAACTTCACTTGGTGCAAAGAACGTCTCTAGCTGCAGACTGACCTTTTGTAGCCATGCATAATAACCAGGAACATAGACCCCTATAATACATTCCTGAGCATGTGTAGGACTGTTTAGGCTACTTGGTATGATTGATGGGGTGTGTGGTGCCTGGCCTGTTAACAATTTGTATACACCAGTTTGCATCCCAGTATAAATTATATTAGTGTTCAAAATATCCACCCTCATGAGGAGAACCCCACCATGGCACAATGGTGCAAGGAATAGAAGTGGTATTTTCCTGTATTATGGTCAAGTTAACTATCAGTGATGGATAACGCGTTTGATTCTACAAATGATTCCAAGCAGAATTGCTTGGGATTTGATACAAGGCTCTTTTCACGCTTTACTCAGGTCTTGTTTATCACCCACAGCTGCCCTTCCTTCTGATCAAGAAAAGGGGACTTAACCACTCCCCATGCAGCGTATCCCTACGTTAAGATTATCCAATTCTTTTGTTAATATCCCCCCAAAATCTACCCAATTCAGAGTGAATTTAATACCTTCAAACATGGAATCAGGGAGAGCAACACATATCCCTTGATTTGTGTAATTCCAGATACGCATAAATCCTTGTATCAATTCCAAAGCTAGGCTGGGAGGTTCTCTCCCCCTATAGCAATCCTATTATTCCAATGCTAACTGAGAAAAAGCAAATTTTCCAATCCATTTTTCCCTAGTAAACTACAAAAAAAAGCCAAATAAAATTAAGCTAACGATAACGATCCATTCAATGACAGAAAATGTAAGTCCTACGACAGGTTTCTAACAACCTGAAAGATATGTAATATATTAAAAGCAAATGGTTTAAAAGATTGAACATGCCTTCAGGTAAGGACCCAATGGTCCTTCTCATGTCCACC